GACTGTTGAGAGGGCCCATCCTGGGCCATGTAAGGAGAGGGAGTTCTAATCCAGCCTGGGCTACAGGGTGAAATTCCAGTGAGGGGCTGGGGGCATGGCTCAGGGGCAGAGTGACAGCCCAGAATCTCCCAGTAAGGGGCTAGAGTGTGGCTCAGGAGTAGAGTGGCCACCTAGAATTCCTCAGTGAGGGGCTGGGGTGTGGCTGTGAAGTACAGTGACAGCCTAGAACCTCCCAGTGAGGGGCTGGGGATGTGGCTCAGGGATAGAGTGACAGTCTAGGATCCCCATTGAGGGGCTGGGGGTGTGACTCAGGGTAGAGTGACAGCCTAGAATCCCCCCCAGTGAGGGGCTGGGGGTGTGGCTCAGGGGTAGAGTGACAGCCTGGAATCCCCAGTGAGGGGCTGGGGGCGTGGTTCAAGGGTAGAGTCACAGCCTAGAATCAACTAGTGAGGGGCTAGAGGTGGAGCTAAGGGGTTGAGTGACAGACTAGAATTCTCCAGTGAGGGGTTGGGGTGTGGCTCAGAGACAGAGTGACAGCCTAGGATTTCCCAGTGAGGGGCTAGGTCGTGGCACAGGGATAGAGTGACAGCCTACAATCCCCTAGTGAGGGGCTAGGGGCGTGGCTCAGGGGTACAGCCCCTGTCTGACAAAGTCCAAGCCCTGGTTCTATTCCCAGCACCAAAAACATAAGAGAAAATAACATGAGATGAGGGAAAGAATGGCTGTAAAGCAGTTTCTAGATCGATCACAAAGGAAGCTAGTGAAAGGCCATGAGGGGTTGAGGGAGCCGGCAGTCTCCACCTTGACTGGGAATCAGGAATCTACTGTCACACACAAATGGCATCTTGAATAACACATAGTCCCAGTTTGGTGATGCTGCCCCCTGGCTGCAGAGGGATCAGCTGTGTGGCCATCAGCTCCAGCTGCAGCCTAGCTGAGGCCTGTGGGCTCTGCTTGGCTCAGGGCTCTTGTCCTTCGGATGGAGCTATTCAAAAACCAACACCACCATCTGCACCTAGTATGCGCCAAGTGAATGCATGTACTATCTTCTATTTTTAGACCTCCTAAATCTCCCTCCACAGCTGGTTTACTCCATCAAGGACTCTGGGGTGGGGGTGGGGTGCTGCAGCCCTAAGGAAGGGATTCTGGGAGGGCACACAGACACACCAGCAGAAGCTGAAGGTTTGAATTCAGATGCCTAGAATCTCCCAGTAAGGGTCTGGAGTGTGGCTCAGGGGTAGAATGACAGCCTAGGATCCCCCTCAGGGGTAGAGTGGCAGCCTAGAGAGACTATTGAAGAAGGATAACCGTGCACAGCACCCAGGTTCGCCCTCTTTGTCCTGCCCACTGGTTCCCCAGCACCCATTCCGGCTCCAGCAGCTCCAGTCTTGTGTTTTGGAGGGAGGATCCAATCTCCTGGGGTGCAATCACACTACAGCACCCTTTTGTGTCTGTGGAACTCCTACTCCACCTGCAAAGCCCTCCACCTAGCATCCCAGCACCCGGTACTCTCTGGCTCCCAGGTGCTGACTCTTGCCCACCCCTCAGCGTGCAAGCCTCTCTCTGGACCGCTCCCCACTCACCTCCACAAAATAAAAGCAAGGCAGGAGCGTCATGCTGTCCTTCCTAGGCCTATTCTTCTCCTTCACCGCAATCATGGTGACGTGAGGCTGAGGCTGGAGAATGACAAAGGCGCGCTGAGGAGCAGGAAATGCGCAGATGGGGACCCCAGATAAGGAAGATCACCCCGGTGCCTGGCGCGGACAGGAGGGGCGTACAGGGTGGCCCCGGGACACTGAGTCTGCAAAGGAGGGGGTCCCTTGGAATGGGGGACTCAGGGAAGGGGAGACTTTGGAATGGGGAGGTGGGGGCTAGGGATCCCAGCGCGCACGCGGTTCGCTCACCTGGCGCGTGCAGGGCGGAGCTGGCTGCAAAACCCCGACACAAAGCCAGGGGTTCCCAGGGTGGGATGGAGGGGGTGGAGGAGTGCAATGGAGGTGATGGAAGGGGTGTGATGTCAGGATCTAGGGGTTCCCCCCAGAGGCCCCGCAGAGGCCTGTGCGCGGTGCACCAGGCTAGGCTCTTTGTCTGCGCGCTTTGCAGCTAGCTCGGCAGGGTCTCCGCCTTGTCCCCGCCCCAGACTCCGGAGCCTCCTCCTCCCGCGGCTCTGCAGGTCTCTGGGTCTCTGAGATCCCGCAGGAGATCCCGATTTGGTATCCTTTCCCTGCGCTTCTGCGCGCAATCTCTGTGCGCCCTGCTCGCGCTGGCGTCTCGGGTGGACCCAGGGGGGCGCTGCAGGGCGGGGTCGGGGGGCGCCCGCAGCTCAGATTCTCGTTTCCCGGGTCTCTCACGGTCCCCGGGTCCCTGGCCCCCGCGTCCTTACTGCCGGCAGCTCACTGGAGTCGGTTTCCATGGTGAGATCCCTGGGCACCCGAGCGAAAAGAGACAAAGACGCTGAGGTGGAGGGCTGCCCTCCCCTCCTCTCCTCCCTCCTCTTCTTCCCCCTTCCCCCTACTTCCCTCCTCTTTACCTCCTCCCCCTCCTTCTTCCCCTCTCCCTCCTTCCAACCGCCCGGACTCCACTTCTCTGACCCTGAGCCGCTGGTTCCAGGAGATAAAGGAATGCAATGTGCACTTATGCAGTGTTTGCTGTTTGCAGGTAGTTCCTGGGAAGTAGGGATTAGCTGACCTCACCCCCATCTCAGATGGGGAAACTGAGTCCCAGTGTTTGAAGTTGCCAGGTCTGGAAAGAGTTTTTCTTCCATTAGGCTATTCATCCTCCTGCGCACCTACTGTATACACAGCCCTAAACAGATACTTGGGACATTGGGAACTGAGACCCAAGCTGTGAGCATCTCCCCCCGCCCCCTCTCTCAATGGGGTCCAATAAGACAGTAAGATCCAGCTCGCCTGGAACTCACTATGTAGCCCAGGCTGGCTTGGATCTCACACTGCTTGCTTCTGCCTCCTGGTGCTGGGATAAAGGTGAGCATCACCATGCCCTGCCTCAGAGTCTACTTAAAGCCAAATGTGGTCCTGCACACCTGTCATCTCAGCATTCAGGAGGCTGAGGCAGGAAGATTGCTGTGAGTTCCAGCACGGACTGGACTACACAGACAGACCTTGTTTTAGGATGATAAAAAGAAGGGTCTGGGGACATGGATCAGTCTCTAAAGTCTTGCAGCATGAGGACCTCAGTTTAATCCTCAGAACCCACATAAAACCTGTCATGGTGTTGCATGCCTTTAATCCTAGCAAAGGCAAGCAAATCTCTGTGAGTTCAAGGCCAACCTGGTCTACATAGTGAGTTCCAGGCCAGCTGGGGCTACAGGGGGACCCTGTCTCAAAAAGACTGAAAAAAAAAAAACAAAAAAAAAACCTGTCAAAAATTTTCTATATGGTAACAGGGCTGGAATTCCTGCCTAGGGAGGCCTCAAGTTGAAAGAGCAAGTACTCCTGCCCAAGAGGGACAGCGCCTTTAAAGGGACTGCAAAAGAGGAGCCCGGTGTCACCACAGGCATATCACCTCAGCAGTCAGGAACTCAAGGCAGGAGAATGGCTGTGCATGCCTTTAATCCCAGCACTCAGGAGGCAGAGAAGCAGGCAGATCCCTGTGAGGTCCAGGCTAGCCTGGGCTACATTAGACTCCTACTTCTGAGGTCAATTCAGCCCTGATCACATGCCCCACATCATGAACCCTGGACCCCATAAGGAGACAGACAGAGGAGGCAGAACCCTCAGTCCATTCACCCTAGTGGCAGGGGAGGCCAGGGTCCCCCCCTCAAAATGCTGGGAAATGAACCCCACACAGGATGAAGCCTGGGACAGGGTAGGACTGTGTGTGGTGCAATCGCTCAGAACTGACGCTCCAGCTTATCCTGGTGGTTCAGTTGTGTAAGAGGAAGTTCTGGAAATGATTCGCAAGTCCGGGAACCCTGTGAACCTCTGCCAACATGACTGTTCAAAATGAAACCACAGCGGTGTTTTCTTTCCTCCAGTCCTCCAGTACCATCACCTGTTTCTCTTTTGGTGGGTTTTGGTTGTTTTTTGCTTGTTTGTGGGATTTTTTTGTTGTTTGTTTGAGACAGGGTCTCTCTGTAGCCCCAGCTGGCCTGGAACTCACTAAATAGAGCAGGGTGGCCTTGATCTCAGAGATTCACCTGCCTCTGCCTCCCGAGTGCTGAGATTAAAGGCCATCTACGCCACCATGCCCAATTTTGTGGGTTTTTTAAAATTAAATTTATTTTGGGACTCGTAAGATGGCTCAGCAAATACAGGGGCTTGCTGCCAAGTCTGAAGACGGGAGTTCAATCCCTAGATCCCTATATGGGTCCTCTGATCTTTACACACAGGTGCCCATGACAGCTACACACATCTGTGAACCTGGCCCAGTGTCTTGAAGGGGTAGAATCACCCTTTGATTAACAACCATTATGGTGCTGGGGTTGGGACTCAGTGGATAGAGTGCTTATAGCTCAGATGGTAGTGCTTTTTGCTCAGTGTGTTTATAGCTTAGTGAGTAGAGTGCTTGTAACTAGGTTAGTGCAGTGCTTGTACCTCAGTGGGTAGAGTGCTCACCTAGCATGTACAAGGTCTTGGGTTCATCCCCAGCACCACATAAACCAGACATTGTGGTACATACCTATCATCACAGCATTGAGGAGGCTGAGGTGGAAGATCAGGAGTTCAGGGTCATCCTCTGCTACATAGAGAGTTTGGGACCAGCCTAGGCTACATGAGAACCTGCCTCAAATAAACATACCAAATGAGGGGGAAGGAATTAATGCCCAGAGAAAATCCAGACAGGAAGAGGCCAACAGAGGCCCAGCACTGAGTAAGTTGAAGCTGGGTGGGTGTCCCTCAAGGCTGTGGCCACAAAGTCCCTTGACCCAAGACCCCAGTGGGGATGAACAGCAGCTCGCTTCCCAAGCTCCCAGGGGACCCTGAGTCTGAAGCACCTCCAATGTCCTCCCTTACCCCAGGCTGGAGGAGGAAGTGGGGACTCCTAGCCAGGCTGCTCAACGGCTCCCAACAGAGCTGGCTATAAAAGGGGCCTGGCAGGCTTGGGGCACAGGAACCTGACCATGACCGGAAGCCACAGATCCCCCAGCTCCATGCTCGCTTGGCTCCTGCAGGCCCTGCTTCTGGGCGGTGAGTGAAGCCGCCTGTATTGCCCTGCATTCTCCTGGGACAGGTGGGGAGATGGGGGTGGCCCCTGTTCACCTCCTGGCTAAAGGCTTGGGAGGGGGTGCACAAGAAGAGGGAAGCCCTAGGCACTCTCTCCTCCCTTCCTCCCTCCCTCCCCCCCCCCCGCCCCCCCCCCCCTCCCTCCCTCCCTCCCTCCCTCCCTCCCTCCCTTCCTTCTTTCCTTCCTTCCTTTCCTCCTTTCTTTCTTGTCTTTTATTTTTTGAGACAGGGTCTCCCTGCAGCCACAGCTGGCCTAAAACTCGCTATGTAGACCAGGTTGGCCTTGATCTTGTAGAGATCCTCATGCCTCTGCTTTCTGAGTGCTGGGGTTAAAGGCGAGCACCACCATGCCCAGCTATGTTTTTCTTTTTTTGAGACAGGGTCTCATGTAGGCTGGCCTCAACTTCACTATGTAACTGAAAATGACCCTGAACTCCTGATCCTCCTGCCTTAGCCTCCTGAGTTGGGATGACAGGCATGAGCATCCACATCAAGTTTATATGGTGCTGAGGATGAACCCAGGGCTTTGTGCATGCTAGGCCAGCACTCTACCCACTGAGGTCCAAGCACTTTACCCACTGAGCTACAAGCACACCACCAACTGAGCCCCAGCATACCCTCTTTTTTTTTTTTCTTAAAAGTCTCTTTAACAATGGGGCCCTGACCCTTCCTGTAAACAATGTGCAGGGAACTACAGCTGGGCTTGGTGGTTCAGGCCTTTAATTCCAGAGAGTCTGAGGCAGGAGGATTACTGGGAATTCTGAGGCCAGCCTAGTCTTCATAATGAGACCCTATCTTAAGATAATAAAATATTAATCACAGATTCAAGCCATCTGCTCCTGTCCCTCCCCAGGTGCCAAGCCAATGTCCCATGGTATTGGGTGGTCACTTCCTCCCAGACTGGGAGACCATGGCTTGAGAGGGACAAGGTCTCCCTGGTGTCACACAGCAGGCAGGGACACCTTCAGGCTGGGGTCTTGACACCTGTCTCCCCCAGGAGTTATCCAGGCGGCTAGGATCATGGGTGGACATGAGGCTCAGCCCCACTCTCGACCCTACATGGCTTCCCTGCAGCTAAGAACGTCCTCCCAGAGCCACTTCTGTGGTGGGACGCTGATCCACCCGAGGTTCGTGCTGACTGCTGCCCATTGCCTGCAGGACATGTGAGTGACAGAGGCTGTTGGGGGCAGGGAAGCTGGAAAGATTCCTGATAACCATCTCACTCAATATATGCCACAGTTGGAACATTCTGCCTGCCTAGAACCCCTCCAAGTGAGGGGCTGGAGGCATGGCTCAGAGGAAGAGTGACAGCCTAGAATCCCTCAGTGAGGGAATGGGGGCATGGCCTATTGGTAGCGGTCTTTGTAGCACGTGAGAGGCCCTTTTCCATGCAAAAATCAAACAGAACCTGCCACCCTTAACCTGCAGCCCCTGGCAGCTGGTGACGGTGGTCCTGGGTGCCCACGACGTGCTGAGTCCAGAGCCCACACAGCAGAAGTTCATCATCACCCAGGTCTTCCAAAACAACTACAATCCAGAGGAGAACCTCAACGACATTCTCCTGGTTCAGGTGGACTGGGCTGTGGGATGTATGCCTGGAACACAGACTTATTGAGCACCTACTATATGCCATGCTAGGACTATGAACCTGTGGGGCTCAGATGATGAAAAACACGTGGCCAGAACTGTGCTTCCTGCCTGGTGGTCGTGGTTGGAGTTTAGGTTAGGGTTAGGACTAGGGCTAGGTTAGCATTAGGGTTAGAGTTACTGTTAGTAATAGGGTTAGGGTTAAGTTTAAAGTTAGGGATAGGGTTTGGGTTTTGGTTAGGGATATGGTTAGGTGTAGGGATAAGTTTAAGGTTAGGGTTAAGGTTAGGGATAGTGTTAGGGTTACAGTTAGGGTTAGGACTAGATATAGGGTTAGGGTCACCAGTTATGGTCAGGGTCAGGGTCAATGATAGTCTTAGGGTTAGGGGTTCTTCCCATTAAAGAACCAGCTTCCTGCAGAGAATTTTTTTGATATATTGGATTGGAGAATTTTCTTTGTTGTATGTTTTCCTCTATGAATCTGTGAAGTTGTAGAGAGAACTGTGCACACAGCTGGTGCTCAATAAATGATCTTGGCGGGATCTGGCCCTTACAAAGATTGTGAGGGAGTCCTGGATGCCTGGGAGGTGGTGGTGTGGGTGGGACAAGACCTCACGTTGCCTACTCCCCCAGCTGGACCGCGCGGCATCCCTCGGAGCAGAGGTGGCGGTGGCCCCGCTGCCTCAGCAGGACCAGCCGCTGTCCCAGGGCACCCGCTGTCGCTGTCTGGCCATGGGCTGGGGCCGCCTGGGCACCCGAGCACCTGTTCCCCGCGTGTTGCAGGAGCTGAATGTCACCGTAGTCACCTTCTTGTGCAGGGTGCACAATGTGTGCACGCTGGTGCCTAGGCGCGCGGCTGGCATCTGCTTTGAGAGTGTGGGGCGTGGCTTTGGCGGGGGCCTGACACAGGGGCGGGGCTTATGATGTTAGGGGTGGAGACTGTGAAGTGGGCCGGGCTCCAGCAAGAGTAATAAGAGGCGTGGCTTAAGAGAGTTCCTGTCTCTTGGCTGGGCTGTGATCGGGGGAGGGCCTTGGGAAGGGAACTCTGGGCCCGGGGCTCTAGTATGCCTGGGTTAATGGGACGCCTGAGGGCTGGGTTGCAGGGGTTGGGGGTGGGGCTCTGCTGAGGGCGGGGCTTTGCAGTGCCAGGGTCTCAAGAAGAGACAGGTTTGCTGCAGGAAGAGACCGTGGGCAGCGGGTCCGGCCCCACCTCTTGTCTGTGTCCCACTCTGACCGTCGGTGTCTACACCTGGGCACCATCCATTGTAAGGGTCAGCAGTCAGCTTGTGAAACAGCCCTGACCCCCTAGAGCACAGTAGGCAGTCTCTGATGCCCGGTGCCTTTGTGTGCTGGGTCTCCTCTTCAGTCTGCATTAGAGCTACTCAGACTGTATCCAGCAGGAGGCTAATAAATGCCACTTGGTCACTCCTTGGGGCTCGCCTAGAGGACTGACCCACCTGTTCCTCTACGCCAGGGAGACTCGGGTGGCCCCCTGATCTGTGATGGAGTTCTTCACGGAGTAGACTCCTTCGTGATCCGGGAGTGTGCCTCCCTCCAGTACCCCGATTTCTTCGCCAGGGTGTCAATGTATGTGGACTGGATTCACAGGGTACTGCGCAGCACGGGCGACTCCCAATTCTGACTCTGAACCTCACCCCTAACTTCCACCCAACTCTAACCCCAATCCAACCCATCCCAACCCAATCCCAATCCCAACCCAACCTGTCTCGACCAACCCAAACCCAATGGAAACCCCAACTGAACCCTGAGACCCTGGCCCCAAGACTCCTCTCTGCACCCCAAATGGCCCAGCACTGAGCTCTACTAGGGAAATTTTGGGCACAGTGGATCTTTCAAGGTTTTTCCTACCTGGTGTCCACTCCAGCGATCCTAGCTCCTTCATGTCGCGCCCCCAGAGCGTGGCTGACTCTGTCACCCTCTCCACATGGCCTCAATAAAAGCTGAATCTATTCTAAAGTGCTGACTCCAGTCTCTCTCCCTGGGGTGACTTGGGATCTTCCCAGAGCCTCAGTGTCCAAGGTGGGACAAGGACTCATTGCAAGAGAGGGGTGCAGAGCTGGAGAGCTGGCTCAGAGGTTACAGCACTGGCTGCTCTTGCAGAGGACCTGGGTTCAGTTCCCAGCACCCACACAAGCAAAGGCCCTAGCTGGGGCCTGATCTACACTCCTGGGAAGGGCAGGGGACTTCCCTCTTTCTGCAGCCCAGAAGAGGAAAAGAGATGGAAGTCAGACATCTGCCAGGGTTAGTGGGGCTCAGCCAGGGGCTCAAGACACCTTCAACTTCAGCAGGGACTGCACTCTGATTTATTTACTGTGCTGCCACCTGGTGGCAGGGGAACAGGCCAAGCTGGTGCCCCTTTTCCAGTCTTGTTCTGTTTTTTGTATCCCAGGTTTCATGTATCCCAGGTTGGTCCCAAACTCACCATGTAACTCCTGACCCTCCTGCCTCCACCTCTTGAGTGCTGGGATGACAGGTGTGTGCTACCATACCTGGTTTATGTGGTTCTGGGGATAAACCCAGGGCCTCATGCATGCTAGGAAAACACTCTACCCACAGAGCTACATGCACTCTATGCACTGAGC